CGAGACCTTTAATAAAAAACCCTTTCACTCACCGACACGATGCGCAGCGACGGATTTGTATCTGCGACGAATTCTGCAATGGCGCCCGATGCCGATGCCTCCACTCAGGTGCCGTTGTCTCAGCTCTCCCTCGACGCACTCGCGAATTTACATTTCCGTTTGTAAAGTCACTTGTCACTGTACCCGAATGCCACTTCTTCGGTTTTCGCTCTGTCCGATTGTCACCGAGTCCGAATGCCACTGCCAATTGTTCGATTGTATCGTCGCACTGATATATCCGCACAAATCACTGAGACACAAATCACCGAGAGCGATCGCGGCTCCTTCCCGCACTTGTCGCGAACGCGTATCGAGAAAGAATAATACGGTATGCGAAGCGGCGCGCGAATGATCCTGCGTACGGCGACGTAAACACCGTAAAAACCGAGCGCGGATTCCAAGAAATGACGTAGCGCCGTCAACACCTCGGTCGAAAACAATCGGTTTTAATCCGCGCCGGTTTTCGGCCGAGGTGTTTATCTGATTTTTTACGGCGCCGTACGCAGGATCGTGACGTAGCGCCGTGAACACCTCGCTCGAAAACAATCTATTGTGTCGAATCATTCGCCGCGGATCAGTCGAGCGGGGCGAACGCTCCGCGTGTCTTCGCGATCATTTCTTTACGTGAATCTCGATCATCTCCTACGTACGCGATCGCCTCGTTCAAGAGTCATCAACGTTTATCAATCGCGTGTAATTGTCACGACCCGGGATCACATCGTTAACGTCTACGGTGATTTGTCGAGACGAGTATCGCGCGTAATTCAAAGTACGCAGTTGAAAAGTTTGTGTAAAATTAACATATTTTAATATAATTAATATAATTTAATATAATTTAAAATAATTGTGTAAAATTCACATATTTTAATGACAAAATGAATTTTAAACAATGTAATTTTTACATCTTACAGATGCAATAAGTCAAATGACGGTTCAAAATCATTCTCACAATGAGAAAAAAATCTGATAGATTCAACCAGTCGTCTGTTAGAAAATGGACGAATCAGAATTCCTTTAGGATTTACCAGATGTGTACTTAGTGAAGTCTAGCAAACTTCTGGTTATGAAATATCTTTCATGGTAAATCCTAAAGGAATTCTGATTCCTCCATTTTCTAACAGACGACTGGTTGAATCTATCAGATTTTTTTTCAGTGCACTTATGTTATATAGAACAAAATCAACATTTTATTCTGTAAATTTTAACAGATGAACCTTGTTACTAATAATATAGAATATACGTATTGTGTAAGATTAGAAAATAATTGTTCTTGTTAAACAAAATGTCGGTTAAAATTTTTGTGTTAAATGTGTTAATTTCACATATTGCTCTTGTGTTAATTGACCTCAAATATAAAATTATTAAAATAACTAAAAAGAAATGTTAAAACAATACAATGTACACTAATTTTTTAATCTTATACAATACATATGTTCTATATTATTAGTAACAAGGTTTGTCTGTTAAAATTTACAGAATAAAATGCTGATTATATTCCATATAACATAAACGAGAGTGATTTCGAACCGTCATTTGACTTATTGCATCTGCAAAATGTAACAATTACATAGTTTAAAATTCATTTCGTCATGAAAATATATTAATTTTACACAAAGTTTATTCCAAATTATTTTGACATTTGCATTTATTCCATGTTAAAATATTAACAGAGTATTAACGTCATCATTTAATTTAACATATGCATATTATGTTAAATCAACCCAAAAATTTGTGTGGACCGTTTGGGATTAAATTTAACACGAATTTTACAACAGTTGCAAAGCGGCTTTCTCTGCCGAGCGCAACCAATGTCGGACTCGACACCGATCGACGGAATCATTGCTCACCGGGATCGCATCGCGGCTGTGTCCCGGCATCCGGTGATCCAGTCCTTACCGTTTGAATTTCACGTTTCCACAAATGCCGGGCGCCCCGGATACAAGAAGCCAGGACGAGTTGTTTGCGCTGGCATCCCGTAAAGCGTTAAACGCTTCAAAGCGGGGTCGGTTGGCGTACGTGCTCAGGGCCATGTTTGTTTTGCGTGCCGGCGCCGCGCCGCGCCGCGCCGCTCCGCCCCCCGCCCGCGGGGTCGCAGCGCCGCCGGCGGCCGCGCCATCATTCGCATAGCGACGCTCGGCGGGGCGCGTAGCCGCGCGAATCGCTCCGTGTTATTTCGCGCGAGCTCATCAAACACGATCGCAGCGAGCACGTGAGGTAACCGAACTTAATCATTCTGCACGATTAATTAGTAATTACGGGCGCGCGCTGTTAATCAATTCTTGTAACCGACGGGCCTGTTGTCGCGACTGCGGGACCGACGATCGCTCGTCGCCGCGAGCGTCGCCCGCTCGAAAGCGCGAGTCGGGGAACGAGAGGAATTGCGAACTGTCGAGTTTATTCTAAACCGGACTTAATTTCGCGCTGCGACATTCACGGGCGACACTCGATTTCCGTATCGCGCCTTCGCGTCCCCGCCGGCGTGAAGTTAAATTTGCCCGTCGTTTTCGGAACCGGGACGGTAAGGTTAAGCGATCGCCCGGCTGTCGTTCGCCGACGACTAATGTGAGACGTGAGATACGGAATATCATGTCGCGCTCGAATATCTCTTATTTCGCGAAGCGTCAACGATTGAACGGTTCGAAGCGAACGGTCCGTTGGCGTACGACGCTCGGGAAGCGCGTGCTGTTCACGTGCCCGCGTGTGCTGCTTCCCCTTCCACAAGGTCACCGCGTCGCGCGACGCTCGCCGCGCGTTGTCGCATTATTTCGCGGTGACGCCTCGACGAGAAAGGACTTCGTCGATCGACGTCGAAACGAATCGTCTTTCCCTGGGGCCCTTCGGGCCGCGTCGAGCCGCGCGTCGGAGACCAAGGCCCGGTTTCACCGGACGTCGCTTTAATCTGACAACGAGATTAATTCATGTCTCTTTCTAGAGTAGCAGTCGGGAGGAGACAATTAAGAACGAATTAAGCTTAAAGTTAAGCGACGCCGGTGGAACCGGGCCCGAGAGCCTGCGACATGAAGATCAGAATTCGACCGTGAATTCAGCCGCGATCACGTTTCGTTGTTGCAAGGTGCCGCCATCTACCGGCGGTAGAATTGGCGGGATAGAACGGTGATCTTCCGGGATAAGACGCGTCGATCACAGCTCGGCAACGGGACTAATATTCAGGACGTAAGTTTCCCCCGGGTGTGTCGGTTAATAGATGCATCGGGCGTTCGTTTAAATGTTTCGTTTGCTCGTAATTAATGGGAAATTCGTTAATTGTCGTACGTCTTACACGCCGATCGAGTCGCAGCTGCGATCGCACCCCCTCGAGTTAACCTTCCGTCCGCAAAATCGTAGACGTCGTCGAAAGTTCTATGCGAAAGTATCGCGAAGTGTCGCGCGATTGTGTTTAACCGTTTTTTTTCCGCGAGTGTATTTCGCGAGTGTGTGTGCGTGTGTGTGCGCGCATCAAACGAATCTGCTGAGAGGAGGAGGAGGCCCAGGAAGGGCATCGGGCACCGGCGGAGCAACCGAGAGGTGAGTCACTTTTCGCGATGTAGATCTGGAAGTTGTGAAACTGTGTCGTTAAATATTTTACTTGAGAAATTAAGTAATTAATTATTTTATTTATATATGTAATACACAAAGACAGAATTGTTTTAATATAATATAATTTAATGCACAAGTCAAATAGGAAACGAGAAACGCCTGTGAGATCCGAGCAAGATGTAGGCAGCCCAATTTTTTAATGAGGTGTGTGGATTAAAAATTACTGGACTATCTATATCTTGCTCGAATTCACAGGCGTTCTCGTTTCTTATTTGATTTATGTACGTCCCGGTTGTAACTGCAATACGTCAGGATAGAATTGTTTTAATATAATCTGGATGTTTGTATTTTTTACAGATCATGGTTCACATGTATGCTGTACCTCCGCTGCTGCGCGTCGTGCTGGTGAGTGTTGAATCGGTTTTATTTGAATCCTGAACCCAGTGAATTTGTGAAAACCATCAATCAGATGCGTACACGACGTGTATATAAAATGTGGAATATATTAGAAAAGAATTAAAAAATATGAAACTTGTTTCTTTAAAATTACGCGGAAACTTATAATTTTAATAATGACAATTGCAGAAATGAAGTAATTTTTATTATCTATTCTCGTAAATTGTTTGACGTCTGAATCCGTTATTTATATCTTTACAAATATTGTGAGACATTTAAGAAAAATAGATTCAAGTCGAGTACAAAAATATTACGGAGAATTAATCTTGCAAATTCACTGCCTCTTGAAATCTGTAGATGGGCTAGAATTGACCAGTTGAAGTGTTTAATATTTGAACGTTCGCAATAGAGCAACGAAATAATTGATTAGACACTTTTTATTACGCAGTTGTATCGAACTTTAGAAAAATTTGTAAAATAAGCTCGGGATGTTATTTTTTGGTTGAAAGTTGATTTACAAAATAAATGGAAATGTCAATAATTATTTTCGTAATATACAGAGACAATTATTTTTGAAGGCAGTACATGACACAATACAATGCAAATTATTTAAAAATAATTATTTTTACGTGTTTGAATAAAACGCGCATAGAACAGATTTTGCAAATTATTTTAACTTTTTGATCACCTTTGTTTATTCATTTGAAAACCGCGTATGAGCATATTGTTTGTTTATTTTACATATAAAATAATATTTTTCGCCGTAACATATTCAAATTATTACATTATTACGGGATTTTTAATTATCAGTCTCCAGAGAATTTCTGGAAAAATATTACGTGCACCCTGTATATTCGCGAATTTATTGAAATAATCAATTAAAAAATTTTCCTTCCTAATTCATACTTTATATGCACAGCTAAGAAATAGAAAATTAAATTAAATTAATTAAAAGGGAATGAAACGAATTACGTACGGTATATATTTTTATACGTATGTATATTTACAAGTATTAATATAATATATATATAAACATTATCTGTGGAATAATAAAATTTAATATAAAATTTCGGTAATCAACTTTTACTACATTTTCTTAAAGATAAGCCCGTATAATATTTCACCGGCAGTAAAGAAACTGAGAGTACTTAGTTAGAAAAATTATTGCTATATGCAATAATTAATGTACTACTTAATAACAAGACGCTATGAAATATATGTACAAGACATTTAATTTTTTTCTATTGCGTATAAGTGTATATAAAATTGTTATCTTTGGTATAATATATAAAGCAACCACAATAAATTATCAAACAATTATCAAAGAGTCCAGGAACTTTGGTTACATACTGCACGAGGATAGTTACACAATTGAAAATGCATCGAAATAATATTTTATATAATATTCTTACTGAAACGAGTAATTATTTTCGCTGTATCATAGATACTTTCCTATATAAACATACATATATATAATACGAGGGGAATGTCTACGATCGTATCGATCTCGCGAGTTTTCGGGAAAATTGCAGACTTCTTGTCTGCCTCGAGCTTCGACTTGGGCGTTAATTGTTTCCGCTCCTCTTCCCTCCTCGGCGATCGTTTCTGCGATTCGATCAGTGTCTACGAGTTAGGACGGCGGGGTCGCGCTGTCAGATCGCAGCTGCGACGGCGCAGCCTCGCTGTACGCGATATCGAAGACGCTCTTCTTCTCGAGAAGCTGCTGATGGCGCAGCCGACCGCCGCTCTGGTACGGCGCCGCATTTTCCGGATGCGAGTCATCCTCGGAGTGCTCGTACTGCGACCTGCACGGTTGCATCTCGAGGGACCTCTCCGGCGATAACTGCGGCGACGGATGCGGCGCCGGGGGTGGCGGGTGAAGATAAAACGGCGGCGGTATTCTCTCGTATTTGTATTCCGAGTGCTGCTGCAGACGGTGCTGCGTGTCCGAGGTGGTGGTGGCCGGCGGTGTCCGGGCGAATATCTCGATCGACGGGTCTTCCCTCCGTGTACCCGCGGCCTTTCGCAACTGTCGCCCCTGACGCACGATAGCCTTCAGCTGCTCGGACTCGACGTTCACCAGAGGCTTGATCTTGCGTCTGGTGCGCGGCGTCGTCTCCGGAGTCTTGCGCTCCGCCGCTAGCCTCTCCCTCTGCTTCGCCGTTTGCTTCAAGCCCCTGCTCACCCAGCGTGGCAGCTGCTCCTCATCGTCCGCCGCTTTCCTCTTCTTCTCCGACTCCTCGCGTTTCTTGTCGTACCAAGCCATGTACTTCGATCGCGTCTTACTCGTATCGATCTCGCCGGTTTTCGGGAAAATTGCAGACCTCTTGTCTGCCTTGAGCTTCGACTTGGGCGTTAATTGTTTCCGCTGGCGCTCCTCTTCCCTCCTCGGCGATCGTCTCTGCGATTCGACAGCTCTCGCTCGCTTCTCCGAATCGCCGTCGGTAAACTTGCGAGGTCGACGCTGCGAATAACTTGGCGTAGCTTTTTCTTCCGGCTTGTCGGGAACGCGTTTTCTCTCCCAGGGAGAAGGCGCCTTCGGTCGCTCGACTTTCTTTGTCTTCTTCACGAAACGTTCGGAAGATACAGCTCTTGCAATATACTTCTCCGAAGTTAACGGTATATTACTCTTTTCACTTCTTATTTTGTCGCTATCTCTAATTCTTGTTTTGTATATCTCGGCGACTTCAGCTTTCGTTTTATCTTCTTCCACTTGCTCAGACTTGCTTGAAGGCAATTTAGTTTCACTTTTAGCACTTTCTTTCGCAGATTTCGAAATCTCTTGGATTTTTTTACGAGCTGTCTCGCTCTTAGATTCCACGTCTTTCTTTGTCACCGGAATTACATCAGTGTCTTCCTTTGGCGTGCCGTTTAGTTCTTTAATACTGAGAGTCAACGGAACTATGTCTTGAATTGTCGACAACAAATTTTTTATCTCTGATTTTATATCAGTGTCTAGTTCTTCAATTTCGGTTTTCGACTCGAAATCTCTGTCCGTCGCGTCTTCGCCGTTTCTCCCCGGTAAATCGGACGGAACTGCTTCAACGCCGGAAGAAATCTCTTCCGACGCAGCGGCGACTTCCTTTAATTCGCTCGTTGTCTCGGTTGTGGTCGAACCTTCCGTCCTCTCAGTTTCATCGAGCGATAAATTGCTATCTGTATCCTCTTCCGGTTCGATTTCTACCCTCGCGTCTCCGCCATCTTCGAGCGTTCGTACGCCGGACATTCCCGCTATTTCAATGCTCTCTTGTTGCTGCCACTTTTGCCGATTGCGCGGAGTATCATAGGGTCTCGTGGACAGCGTTGTTTTCCTGGAAACATCACTGGATGAGTCGCTCTCCTCCGAAACATCAAGTGTATCATCAATAAAGCTGCTAAAAATTGGAACGCTTACGTCTGCCTGTTGCTCTCCTCTGTCTCGTGGCTCTGCGACCGCTGCGCTCTCAGAGATTATCACGAAACTGTCCGTTTTCTCTGGCTCACTCACAGCCGGTTCTTGCGGACTCGTATCTTTCGGCAACTGATCGACAGAAGATTCCTTATCGAGTGTTTCTTCGTCGGGCCTACCCTTTGACGTAGATACTTCTTCCGTTCTTTCTTCGTGTTCCTCGAGTTCTGGTTCTTCTTTCTCCTTTGCATGCTCGACTTGTGATCGTTCTTTAATAACCTCCTCTCTGGAAGTAGCATCCGTTAAAGGCGCGAGAGATTTGTCCTCGTCAATTTTCTCCCGTTTAACTTCGTCAACGTCAGACATGTTTTTAGGAGATACGTGCGATCCTTCCTTAGTTTCATGGCTTTCGATTTCCGTCTTGAGATCATCGCTTAAACGCTCCGCTTCATCTTCGTCGGTCGGTTTCTTCATAATATCTGGCAGTTCGGTGAACTCAGACTGAGTCAAATCGTGATCTGATTTTGACGCTTCGTCACTAGTTTCGTCGATGTACGGTAACGTGGCATCGTCGATTGCAAACGCCCTCTGAGTGCCATTTACATTTCTGGTGTCATCTGTTAGAGATGGACTGATATCGGACGGTTCTTCAAACGCTTCAGCTGACGATTCTTCCCTTTCCTCCGCGACGAATTCCTGAATTGCATATTCCTTCGATCTTTCTGCGTCACTTTCAATTTCACGTAACGGCACCTCTTCATTTCCTCTCTGCGTTAAATCTTGTACAATCTTTTGTTCGATATCTCTCGCATCTTTTGTCGCAGAAATTTCCTTCTCGACACGCTTCTTTGATTCTGGACTTAATTCTTCTCTCTGATCGCTTTCAGTTTTATACAATTCTACAGTTTTGTCTTCTTCGCTTGAATGTAGTGTAACATATTCAATGTCTTTTGAATCTTCTATTTCCGATGGTAATGAAGCGAGGTCACTATATAACTCATTTTCCTTACGTTCTCCTTCAATGTGCTCCGTTGCAGTTGATTCTTTCAAACCCTCCATGTGCTCGTCCAGAATATTCGCTTCTTCTCTCGCAGTCTCTCCGGCATCTCTTAATGCTTGGAATTCATGTTCTTTTTCCGGAATAATTTCTAACACTTCCTTTTCTAACATCTCCTTTTCGGTTTCGTAGGAAGATTCTTCTGCCGCTTCTTTATGCTTTCCGGACATATAAGCTATTCTCCTTTCGACAGCGCTTTTGTCACCGTAAGATGGCAGTTTCTCCGTTTCTTCTGAGGTTTTCAGAGCAGGAGGATCTGGAGAAATTGTTCTCTTGCTGCTGTCATCCGACTCTTTACCGGAGACTTCGAACGATTTAGATTGTTCTTTGCTTGTAGCGTCTAATATTGTCTCACCTTTGAACTGCGTATCTTCCAGAATGTGAAGAACTGCGGCATCTTCAGCAGCTTCCTTCAGCGTCAAATGCTCTTTGCCAAAGTCATGAGATACACCTTGTTCTTCACTTTCAGTTATAACAGCGGCTTCCTTCGGACTCACTCGTTCTTTACCAAAATCAAGTTGTACACTTTGCCCGTTGCTCTCGAAAATCTCACTTTCGACAGCAGCTTGCGTTTGATGTTCCAGTTCTACTGTCTGTGGTTCCGGTGTAAAATCGTCAGAAAATTGCTGTATTACTTCGGCATCTCCTTTGCCGCTCGCAGTGTCTTCCTTGTCCGCGTTTCTGTCGATTGCTGAGTAAAGCGCGCTTTGATGGTCGATGTCTCTTCTCCGCGGCTCTGTTACGAAATCGTCGGAAAATTTCTCGCTCGCGTGATCCAGCCGCCGTTTCGATGTTCGCTGACACGTATGACTCAACTCTGAGTACCCTGTAGTTTTTTGGTCGGTGTCTCGACTGGTAATCGAGTCCTTCTTGCCATTCACACGATCGGAACTTGTACTCGTGCTCCGTTCCTCCGAGATGTGAACGTGCTCCCTACGACCAATCGCTGCCAACTTTTGCGCACGCGACATTTTGGCAGTCTTCTCAGTCTTCGGCCTGCCGCTTTCTTTGCTCGCGGCACTTGCGCGCTTCTCGAGCTCTCGATCCTGCGGGACGATCTGCTTCTTGCGTTCAATCTGCGTTTGCCTCTTAAGCTTTGCGTGACCACTTGTCTGCTTGTGCTTCGCAGCTTCTTGACGAGAAGCCAGTTTCGACTTGTTCGATTTCTCGAACGCGTACTCGTACTCGGAACTGCCGGGGCTCATTACCTGCGGTTGCTGGTACTTAAACTTTTCTCTCTTCGTCTCTTTCGATATACTTGGCGAGGTCTCGAACCGCCTGTGTTTCTTCGAGTCTCCTTCTTTCTTGGATGTACTCTGATCCGAATCTTTTTTCGAGTCCTTGGATGTTTTCGATTTTTCCTGGCTCGTACTTTCGGACTCGGTGGTCTGCGGCACCTTTTTGTCAGCGAGTTTACTCAGTTTCCTCGTCAGCATCGTGATCTCTCTCTCCAAAACGCGAAAGCTAGGTTTTATCACGGATTCTACCTTCTTTTGCTTCTTGACTCTACTCTCTTTCCTCGAACTTTTCTTCTCCGTCGTTTCGCGAATATATTGTCCGTTGTCGACGCTTACTTCCGGTGACGACAAGCTCTCCATTCTTTTCTCACCGGAAGATTTCTCACGTTTCTTACACACCTCTGTCGACGAGGAGGAACCGTTTTTCTCTTCGCCCAGTACTTTGTATCCGACGCTGCTCTCTTCCGTGTACCGTTGACAAGTTTTCGTTGACTTTCTCCCCTTCTCGCGGTAAGTGCTGCCATTCTCGTCGAGAGAATCTGAGATTTCCCGCAGCACTTCAGGCTCCAAGGACACCTTTCGTCCCTCCTTCACGTCCTGCACTTTCTTTCTCAAGGTGCTCAGTCGCTTATCGAAACACGGGCCCTCCTCTTCCTCGATGGGTGTTTTCATCCATAAAGTCCGCGTTCTCGATTCGCTCTCGCCGTGACGTTTCTTCATCCTCTTTCGGCTGCGCGTATCCTCGTCGGACTCGTCGTTGTCACTCCTGCTCCGGATGTGTCGTTCCGTCTGTGTCGCGGCGGCTCTGTCAGTCTGCGTCGCGATTGCCACTTGCCCCGGAAGACTTTGAGTCTCCAAGTAACTCGCGGCGTCCATCATCACGCCAGCGGCGTGCCTGGATTCCCTCTCCAACAGCAGCCTCGTCAATAGAGCGTTCTGTCTCGCCAGCTCCAGGTCGTGAAACGCGTACGACTGCGCCGCCGTCGATTGCGCCTGGTCTTTGACGATCGACGGCCTGTCCTTGGACGTAATCCCGGTCACGTTTGTCGAGATCTCTTGGCGGCGAACGTCCCGCATCTGCGACTCCACGTCCATGTGTTGCCCCGTGTATTCGTCGTCCATTGCCAACTTTTGCGCGCCGATTTCCAACTCTTCCGCACGTTGACGCCTAATTTCCCCCAGTTCCTCCGGCAAGAGGAGAATCTCCTGTTTGTGCTGATACAAATTCCTCGAGCGCTGGTGAGAGTCGATGGTGCGTATCGCCTCGGTTTCCTGCATCGGCTGCTCGTACCGCGCTTTCTGATCCTGCATGAACCGCTGCAGAAGTACGTCCTTGCCGTCCACTATGAAAGTCGCCGGATAGTGGCGGTGTTGGCTTCTGTCCTCCACTTGTCCGCGCGTTACTAATTGCAGCACCTCCGCGTTACCGTCGCGGTAGAAATGTTGCTCTCTTATCGCTGTCTCGTTCAATTCAGGGTCGACGTATCTGTAACGAGATAATACGGGATATATCGTTAATCTTTCGTTTTGTAACTGGGAAAAATCTCACTGCGATAATAGTTTGGCACAATTTTTATTTCAAGTTTATTATTTGTCAAACGTGTGTTAAAAGTGTCGGTTTTAATTAAGGAAGTAGACATCCAATTTTTGGAAAATAAACTCTTCGAATCAGCAGTGTAGGAAAATTGATAACCGACACAACTGGTAATTTTAATTAGGGACAATTTATTGCGAAAAAATATCACCTCGGCCAGGGTTTGAACCTGGACTTCCCTACGCTCTAGACGGGCGTCTCACCAATTCGACCACTGAGCTTTGAGTTTTTGATACTAAAAGTGTATAACGTTATAAAGATGTATGTACATTTTACAAGAAGAATATTATTGTCCCCAGTAGTTGATTAACGGCGGGAAGAAAAATTATTAGACGACTTTAAATATATATTTTAATAAACGAAGTATAACAAAAGTCTCTGTGATGAAATCGGTCATGTTTATATTGCACAAGTTTAATTTTTTAATTTAGCAAAATGTAAAAAGACTTGCAATATCTCCCGGTTTATTTTGCATTTCACATCCAGGCTTCAAAATCATTGACGGTTATCGCGAAATTACTATAAAGAACGTTCTACTTCATAACGAAAAGTTCTACTTTACCTATGTCTGTAAGCCTGACGCTGACTGTCCGAACCGCGCTCGATTTCGTGTCGTTGCAGGGAATCTGCGTCCGTGTCGTAATCCCTAGCCTTCCTCTCCTCGACATCCTCTACGTACATTTTCTCTTGCTCTTCGAATCTCCTTCTCCTCGATGGATCGTAAGCCGGGCCGTCGCGTAGTCTCAGCGATTCCACGTTTGCTTGGTCGATTGGAGGACGCTCCGAGATGTACACGACGTCACCAGGGAGTGACGCTAAGCCACCGTTCTTCGTATTCCGTCGATTGAATTGCCAGTTTCTTCGAGTTGGGTCCGCACTCCAGGCTTGTTTCTTTCCGTTCGATGTGACTGTTATTTGATACATCGCTCTTGTTAATAAGTTGCCAATTTTCTTTATGCAGAGAGACAATTTATAAATTATGAAACACGCGAAACTGGATTGTAATATTTACAGGAGAATTATTTCTAAGCGTTTGAAAGCGAAATAGTTGACAAGGGTAATTACTGTCGATTGTAGCCATTGGCTTTCGATGAACGTGACGTTTCGGTCGACCGTCGGATCGGGCGACGAGCGTCTCTGACGAGTAAACTCTGCGCTTTCTGGGCGCCATGTAAAATGGGCAGCCTGGACAGATGCAACAAATGATGAGCGCCGCGATAGCCAGCAGCATTAGCAGGCCCAGAATAATCAGTAACCAGAACAGTAGTTTATTCTCCGCTCTGTACACAGTCTGAAAAAGAATCCTGATTTCTCATTTCTCTAAAATAGAAAATTGCCAACTGGGATAAGAGAAAAATATGATTCGGGGAAACACTCCTTGGCAAAATTTAAGACGCGAGATACTCCAAGTCTCAAAATAGAAGAATAACATTGTATTCCGCATTAAAAGTTGAATGTTCATATTCTCCATTTTCCACCGAATTATTTCTCAGGTCTGTTTTTGTCCGGTAATAAAGTTATCGCGGATGTAAGAAGAGAGAAAAGGATATTTTGTAACACGTTTAAAGTTGTCTGGAAACATAAATTAATTTAAAAAAACTAGTAATAAGCAATACAGTTTTCGTCTACAACGAGTAATAAAATTTTAAATGAAAACTGACGTGTCATGCGATAAAGTTAGCGAATGTGGGCAATTAACGTCTACTCACTACTTCCTCGTGAACACTGCTGATCGTTTTGTTTACGTAGGTCCCCGCGCTATCTCCCCCATCGTGAATTGCTCCATCGATTGGAAGTTTCGTGGTAGTCTCGTAGTACGTCATAGACCCATTGGCAGTGCCTGCGCCGCCGATGATGCCCACCCCATTCGCGGCTAATGTGTTACGAATTTTTTCCACGTCCACCAAAGGGGTGCCGATTTCGGTCTGTTCGACGCGCGCTACCACGATCGTTCTGTCAGCAGAAGATCACAGAGGCATGAAAGAGATCCATGACCGATTAGCAATTAAAATATTTCAAATTTCGTTCCAACTTTTATAGTCGATTCGAGAAGAATCATTCGTGCAAATAATCGTCAATGTCCAAACTAATATTTCTCAACCACTTTGGCTGTTTTCTCGACCCTAGCTGGCATTTTTAATAATACAGAAAATTTATTGCGAAAAATGTTTACCTCAGCCCAGGGTTTGAACCTGGACTTCCCCGCGCGCCCGCCTGGAGTGTTCGCAATAAATTTTCTGTATTATTAAAAAAATGCCAGATACGGTCGGAAAACACTGACGTTGTTAATTACTGCTGGCGACATTTAGGAATATTCTTGTTGGTTAATAGTTTTTGTTCTCGAAATATTAGACACTTTGTGAGTCTCTGTGAACCTTTTTTCTGCCGCCGGGGCAGTCACGCCAGTTTTATTATCCGGCACGTAAGGACGTGTATCCAGCACGGTAATTCGTCCGCCAGTGATAGTGGCTAACGTCTCCGTGGTTTTCGTTAAATTCGGACGTTCTCCGGGCACGACGAACATCATTATGCGAGCTTCCATGGCAGTTCCCCTGACGACGGAGATCTCTGTCTCGCTCGCGAGATGAGGTACACCTAGAACATCGCGTTAGTGAGGAAAAGAGAAAGAGTATCCTTCCGCTTAAATCATAAAATTTCCACGAAACTTGCAGTCCTCGTTCGTGATTTATCTCGCTCGCCAAGAGCTACATTTACTATATGAATATTCACCAAGATCATACGCCCTGGCAGTTAAAGTGTATAAGACATCGGCTTCCGCTCGTTTTCTTCGGTGCCTTTTTATCTCGCCGACTTGGCGTTTCAATTCAGCTTCACTCGCGATGCTCTCCGTTGAAACGGCAACATCCGCAGACGCCGTTGTTCTTGCAGTCTCATGTGTTACGAGTTCCGGTTGAGAAGTCTCTGTTCCCCTGTGTAGTTTCCTCGAAAAATTGTCGTAGACGCTCTGTTTCTTCCGCCTGAACTTCGTGATGGGCGACAGCAATATTAGTTGTCCGGTAATCTCGTTCAAATAAAATTTATTTTCATAATTTCCGTGAATCAGTTCGTAGCGAATTTCGTTGTTCGGCGATTCGGCGTCGGCGTCAACGGCCTGCGCGAATTACAACGTATTTCACGTGTCAGATACATTCATTGGAAGTCTTCTTGCGAATGAAAATCAAACGATTAAAATGGAAATGTCAAAGACATGGAGACTTACCTTTATAAAGGCGGCCGTTGAAAAATTTGTCAGATCGGAATTCAATGTAAACTCGTAGGCATCTTTCTCAAAAATCGGCGCGTTGTCATTCACGTCCAGCAAATTCACTATCAAAGGTGCTACGCCCGTGTTACCTTTGCCGTTTTCATCGCGCGCGTTTATAGTTAATTGTAACTGCGCTGCCATTTCACGGTCCAAAGACGATCCCATCGCGACCGTGATTAATCCCGTATCGGCGTCTATCGCGAGAGCGTCGCTACCTCGTCCTGTTATTCCTGTATAACGAATGCTGCCGAAAAGTCCGGTATCTTTGTCGGTTGCATGTACCTGTTAGTAAAATTGTCCCTTTTTCTCTCGAATTCGTGTAACATCAAATTCTCAAATAAGCCCGTCGTAAATAAGATTGATAGAAAATATACTCGATTTATTCTCATTATATTTATTTAGAGCAGGCATTAATTATTACTTGAATCACTCGTGTCCCAGCGGTGATATTTTCGGATAACGTAACTTCGTAAGATTCCTCGTCAAAGACCGGCGCGTTATCGTTCACATCTTGTATAAATATTACGACCGCTGCTGTCGCCGACAGATTTGTCGCTGGGCCAACTTCTTGAGCGATAATCTACATATAAATATTAATTAAATTTACTTAAACGTGGGACAACATTTCTTTTTAAGTATTAACAAAATTAATTATTTCACAGTCGCCTGTAGTAAAAGAACAATACAATATAACTCAAATAGCAAGATCGAAGTCCATTATCTTTGCATTAGAAATGCGTACCTTAAAAGACAAACTTTCGTGCATCTCGTAATCGATGAGCGCGTTGTCTCGTACCATGAGAATAAAGTCCGCCGTTCTTTCGGCAACTGTCGGATTGATTTCGAACGTGCCATTGTTATTCTGTAGCTTCAACGCGAAGACACCGGCCTTACCGATATCCTCATCGCGGACTCTGGGCGAATATTGCTCGGGGAACATTATCACGGTACCCGGCTCCAGATTCTCTGGTATCGTTGCGACGTAGCTACAAATAGTATTGAGCATAAATAAATATCATAAACGAGTACTCTGGGGGAAAAAAAGACAGTCAGCAGCCCATTTTGGGGCCCGCAATTAGTAATCGAATTATTTTGATTGTCCGTGACTCTAATCTTTTACGAATTTTACCCCGCGCAACTAAAAATCGCAATTAGCTATTCTATATCCAAGATTTTTAAGTAACACTAATCAATTCTCTCAATTAGTTCTGTCGACATTCAGTAACGCAAGGATAATTTTCACTTAAGAGGCACTAACCGAAATGTTAAGTTGTTTAACTACAAAATAAAAGAACGGTCAAAATTTTTCCCAGAGTAAAATTACGAACAATCCAAGTAATTCGACTACTAATTGTGGGCCCCAAAATGGTTTGCTAACTATGGGCCCGAGCAGAAAGCTGCCTTGTACTCTTAAGACGTAAGACAGTTATTGTTAGAGTTAAACTTGAAATATAAAACATTGTCCTAAGGCAGTCTTAAAGGTATAAGACAGCCATTCTGCTCAGGCCCTATCTTTTTTTCCCAGAGTAACGAGACAACGTATCGTGAAGAAACCGCGCTATCACGAACAATGTAATGCGGGTATTGGGAAATTAGAAAAGCTGTAATATAGGCAAGTAAAAGTTTTCGTTTTTTCCAAAGTCGAATAATGACGAAAAGACATTGCCCTGACTCTTTACTAAAATCATCGGGTACCAACTTATCATTCTCAAAATACGGCGGGCTATTGCCTGGCTCTCCAAGAAGGAAACCGACGTCGACGACCGTCGCCTGAGCCGGCGGCTCGTCCCTAGATCTCCGTATTTCTTCAGCGACGACGGTGAGCACGACCGGTGCGCCAACGTGAGTAATTTGTGTGAGCTCCTCTAAAGGCTTAGCGAGAACGATCTCACCTAAACATCGTAAATTTATGACGTTCGTGTTAATCATCGATCAATTTTTCATTCAACTCGTTACTCTTGATATTAAAAATACTTGTAAAAAAAATTACTGCTCTTGCACAATAATCGCAAATAATGTTGTCTGTAAGAGAACCGTTGTAGAGATTGGCAAAAGTATTCGTCAAAGTTCCGTATCGTCTCTACTTGGGGTATCGTTTCTCCCAAAATTAGTGTCTTTTTCAACGTTGATTTATCACATTTTCGCGTCGTACGTGTAGATATACGTACATACGATCTCCCATTTCCGCACGCGCGCGAACTTCTGTGCAAGACGATTCGTTGTTTCTTGGAGAACTGGTGGTAGCGATGCTACGTAGACTATTTTTAATATGAATAAAACATCGCGGAGATAATGAAGGCGAAATTCCCTTATCCTCGTTACTTCTCCGTCTCGACTCCGTACCGCGCACGCACGCTGACCGGCAATAATTTTACATAATGTACCCGCGGAATCGACTTAAGAAATCGTTCGCAGCGAGGGATGAATGTGTACACCGCTGGATGTAGGTGGAACCCGCACACGCAAGGAGTCGTAGTACGTATCGCATGCTCCTTGCCACGGAATGATAAGCATCGCAGGTTGAAAAGCAGAGAGTGACCCCTGAGAACGATCGATACTTGGCCGTAGACTGTCCAGACTTATTCCGACCACCTTTAGCTCCTTCTGTTTACTCCTCGCCAATTTTTCGCGCTCTCGCCTGACTTATTTAGGCTTCCATGAAAAATCTGATATTCCGAGAACGCGATGATAGATAGCAAGAGCTCCGCTAGCACATTTTTCACTCGTGCGTAAGTTCTACTTAAAAAAAAAGAAAAGAATAATGTTTTATGAAATCCCTCTCGTCGATCGAATTCTTCCATTTGACAAAATGAACCCGTAGATTCTTAAGGAAAATACTCTCGCTCTCGACAGTCATTTGTCAATTTGTAGTTCATCTTGATGCGATCCGTAGTTGAAAATTTCCTAGCTTGCTACGAGGAAGATCGTCTGAAACGTTTATAGAAAAAAAAAAATGAAAAATGTGCACGCGAGTCAGTGAATACGCGGTGATTTCTCCCGCGGCCTTTACGTGGAAGGTGGAACAAATTGCTTCGCTATCAAGGAATGGAAGATCGACATCGGCGGAACGGTAGCGAACAAATTTCCCTGCTTAATCATTGCCCGGCGCTTTTCGCGAAATGAGGTCAGCCTTGTGTGCCAAAGGGGAATATGAATCAACGCCATTACTTTTCCTCGTCACCGAGATTGTCAGGTGGGAGCGACCCGTGACGTGCGATAGATCGGTGAATTAGCGATGACTCAACTGCCCGGATAAATTAATTACACTACAATTCTAGTTTGCATCTGCGCGATAGAAGTCCTTCTAACCCTCGGGCGCGCTCAACTCGCGTAGCATAATTGGTATGCACGCGACCGAGGATTCAGAATGAAATGTGGCACGTTCGGCGACGAAATTACTTTCTCCCAGTTCTCTTACCTCCCCGTCGCGCCGTGCATGCGAGATATTGAAAATGCAACGATGCCCCTTACCGGTTGCTTCCGAAATGTTGAAGAAAGGTATGAAGGGGTTGCCTTCGGACACCAGGCCGTACGTGATTTCACGCGGCACTCCCTTGTCTCCGTCTTCCGCGTGAACTCGTAATATTACGTCTCCCTTGAAACGACATAAAGGATTTTAAAACAGCTACTGCGATTGAGTAAAGGATCGTCTACGGTAGATGAAGTAAGCCTGGCGTAAGAAGTGAGAGTAGGAGTAAAGAAATGAATCACTTCAGCTCTGACGCATACTCTCGGCGAATTAGAGCGACCAGTTCGACCAGTGCTATCGATATTTTGTAAAATTATGCCTGTACTTTAGCTTTCACACTGATAAGTAAAGGCTATGGGTTTTCTTACTTCTTACTGCTTGCTCCCAATGTAGACGGTCCTTAACATTTCGGGTGGGAGTTTTATCGACGTAGAATGTAAAACATGAAACTTTTAAAATATATCCTTTTTTTTATGCGGGCACAGATTAACGCGAATGAAACGAATTGAGCACGCGGTGGGCCTCACTCACGATTTGCACGGAATTGTTAAGCCTGGTTAAAGGGGGTGCTAGGGTGAAAATTGGCGGCACGTCCTGCACGTCCTGCACGATGACGACGATATTTAGTCCCGCAATATTCCTGGTATCCTTTCCAGACTCCGTGTAAGGATCCTACTTGGAAACAAATTGTACCGATGACGTGCGCGCGCGCGTGTGTATTTTATGCTCATTGGACAATTATGCGTACCGTCGCGTAAATGGTGAGGGTGTACATCGATTGCGTCTCGAAGTCCAGCTCGCCGATCAACGTAATGACCCCGCGCGTCTGCGTGGGCGTCTGTCGCTGCCGAATAGTGAAAAGTTCTTTCGGTTGCTGAAACGTGACATTTTTTTTTTGCGTTACGCTACTGCCGATTACGCGAATACGAGGTGTCTATTAAACGCATACCCATAATTCGATGTAAACTGGCTTGCCGCTCCAGGAGTTGGCTCGTACGAGAAGGTAATCTAATTCCCTGCCTGGTTTAGCGTCCTATTAGCACGTTTTGCATTAATTCTTAATGTTACGCGTTGCCTGATAACAGATTCTGTACTTGTACCCGTGCACTACACCGATAATTAGCGATAAACGCGCGCGAAAGAGTTCGTAGAGCATTACGCGTAAGAGAAAGGTCGGAATAATTACGACGCGCCCTAATTAACGTCGTTAGGAGAGCCATTAATTATTACATACCTCGGGTATCATTATCAGGGAAGGAATGTGAGGGAATATTTTATCACGCGACGTCGTGGCGTTCGTTGCGGAGATGGTAGCCTGCATCGAATTTGAGTCTCCCTTGGTATCCCGCACCCTGACGGCGAAATCGTGAAGACGCCCAGGCATAAGGCGTTTCGTTAAAATTACATTAGCCTGGCAGACTTTATTGTACAACGTGCACGGTAAGTTGTCGATTCTCACGACGGGCGTAATCGTTGCTGCGAACCAAGTGTTAGAAATCATCTCTAATTCCTGAATGGAACGTCGCGTTTTAATAAACGCGATACTTGTACTCGTCTTTCGTAATTACCGACTACTTCAAACACGAGAGGGAAGTCCGCGTCCTGGTCGGTGGCGCGTAATCGGAAAATCACGGAATCGACTTCGGCGTCGGCCGGCACCAACACCAGTCCCATATCCGTGGATGTGTCGAAACGTGGCCGCGCGCCTTCGCCCCAACCGCAAACAAGCCCCAAATAAACCCACGCTTTAAACCATGCTCCTACGAGGGGCATTCTGAAAGAAGAAATTGTTGAACGTAGTCCTTACTCGTGCTGTGTCGAGTGCATAAGACACAGAGCCAGAGGGCATCGAACCTATAATTTGCAAGGCCCGCGTTAAAGCGTAGAGCAAGTAACGGCAAATCGGCAATACCGTATTGCTATAATTCACATTAATGTAATCGACAGTAATAGCGAAAAGATGGCGGGTTTTGATACGATGGTAGATATCGATTTTATGATCATAAAACGAGGTCGTGAGTATTCATTGTCGCGTCTCAAAACGGTATATTAAGTGTTCCACATCGTGTTTTCGATCCGCATTATAAAGTATAATATTGTCACAATCGTACAATAAATGGAAAATCTATTTTAATTTCCTAATAATACTGTCATAATTGTATGTCGAGTCATGATCTAATACTTAAATCTTAATAAATGTTTTAATTTAAATTAAATAAGATATGTAATACAATTTAAACCACAGCGTTATTAATCTTTAGTAAAAATATATTTATTTAATTATATTATAATAATATACATTATTTAAACGTAAATAAAACATGTTAATGAAATGTTAATGAAAAGTGATTTTCACGTAATAATTACATTAATATGTAACGTTATGCATATAGCACATAAACAAATCATAATAGAATAAGTATAATAAAATTTTTATATTAATTTACAGTAACTTTATAGTAACTTTATAATACTTTTACTTACATCTTACAATACTGTGTTCGTCACTTTTGGAACATTCTACTTAACTTTATTATTATTTTGAATAAGATTATTTTATTGGAGATAGTTTTGCATATACCGCTGTTATATGCAATTGTTAAAGCAAATGTGGAAATGTGGGGCATCAAACACTCATATATAACAGAAGTAATGTATTGTCGTGTCCAGTGCATTGCGTTTCTGTAGACATAGAAACTTTATGATGACATATTTTACCGCCTATCAGATCTGTTCCTTTCCGCAGCCTCGAGTGAACAGAACACATAACCGTAATATAATTTTTCTTTGCAGATTGTATTTAAGGTATTAAGGTAGTAAATTTTGAAAGCGTATTCTTTGGATAATTCTTTCTAAAAAAAATTTTCTTTGTCTTCTGCATATAATTTTTTAATGCATTAATTATATATCCGAGTTAAAAACCGGGATGAATGATTGTTCGATTAATGGAAAGGATCTACGACGTGTCCAGTGTATCACCAACATGCGATTACTGAATAAATATCCAACATATAGATAAGCGGGTCAAATTAGTCGATCGTTGACGAGTGGTTGTTCTGTCTCCGCTTCCTTCTAATTCCGCACGAAAACGTGTGTCTTCATACACGAGAACCCTCAAAACACTTGATAGTCGCGTATTTTTCTTTTTAAAGCTTTTTTTTAAATATATCACGCTTTATTTAACACTGCTGTTTAAAAATAATATGATAACCGCGCGCGCATATTGAATTCATTATTAAACAGCCACTACAGTAGATACGTGTGTATTTTATTAGACGTGCTTTTTTCATCGAGGATATTCATATGCTCGTATAATGTGCACTCTGTGTTTTTACCTACAACGGACATCCTCTGTCAATGTCTCATGCCTTGACATTGCATAAATATTCTACGGTGTAGCGAACGTAAGACATTCGATGGAATATTCAGTATCGACTTCCCACGGTAGATCTATAATGAGTCTTGTTTGTGTAACGATGGAGTGGGCTTTAACCCGTCGTCCAGCCCGCGTACCGTCTTGCTATATATTTTTACCGGTCCGTGTCCACGCCGGAGCAATCGATAGGCTTTTTCTTTTTCGCAACCTGTGCCGGCCGGATACTTGCGAGAGTCGATATCCGTGGACACAATTGAAAATCCATGCGAACCTTCACCGGGCAGCTTATAAATATATAATAAATAAATGCATGCTCGATGTGCATTGTGCTTGCCGCTGCGGTGTTTCAGTGCACGTGAGGGATGTCGATATGTCTTGTCGATTGCATCGACATTTTATTATATATACAATATATACATGTATATATAACAAAATACACAATGCAATACCGATATCTCATTGCACATTAATAGAGAAATCATTTACCTTATAACTTTCTGAGGGTATTTTCCGCGAAATTGTATTAGAAAGGAAATTACTTTCCGGCTTTGGAGATTTTATTATAATACATTGAGGGAAAATAGAGCACAGAAAAAAAGAAGTTTTTAATATAAAATATTACTTTAAATATTTAATATACGATGTTTCTCCTACATGAAGTTTACACATTTTTGTCCTGGAATCTACATTAAGGAAGGAGTCTTATAATTTTAATTAAGGTTCTTCACTCGTGACTTATTTTGTTTGTGATAAACAAATAAAAAATGCCGTCATTGTGTTTCGTGTCACTTAAAAACTGAACGCTATTGATGACCCCACATTATCAAAATTGCATTGCGATGCTATTAAAAGTTTGGCCAGTTACAAAAGCAATTTTGCAAAAAAAAAAACTTTATAGTGTTATGACTTATAAATAATTGCTGTGCAATTAAAAAATGTAGCTCATTGTGTCGGTCAAAAACTATTTAAAATGTATAAATTTACCTGAGAACACAGATAATCACAAGATTGTTGAACACGTCATGTTTCTGCGAGTACTTATCGATCACAGATCAAACGACTTTTTCGGCAGTGATGCACTCATTTCTAGAACGAAAAAATTCGTGGTTTTTGCTACTTTCGGAAACAATCCTCGAGGGCGAGTTAACTTTTGCCCCTCCGTTTTTAGCATTATGTTCTCTACCGCAAGTTAACTTTCGACACGCTGTCACATAATTATTTTCGCGCGTAGAGTTCGAGTTTGCGTTGTAATACGTTCATTATTCCTTTCCGGAGATCACACTTGTGAAAAATCACTGAAGTGCACGGCGGACAACCGCGATCCAGAGACAGCATTCTCGAGTATCGCGTGGAAGCACACTTCACGCGGCCGCGTACTCCGCGCGTGTGAAAGGGGTTGTACTGTTCAACCCCTACGTTGATGCCGGTGCTTCGAGTCACGTGTACGTCACGTTCGACTATCCCCTCCATCAGAATATCGAAGATGCACTTAACTATCTGTAACAGGTTCTCGAGTGCTTACAATTGTTCTAATCAATTAAGATAATTATAATGCATAAATGAGAGGTCGCTACTTTTTCTAGCTTTCATATTTATATAAAGTAATACAGATACATTTTTCTAAAGACGCGTCGTATTACCGGTTGTAAATATCGGGAAATTCTAAATTGAAATATTTAATGAAAATGACGAACATTTAAATTTTCAATAAAATAAATGTTTTATAATATTTTCTTTTAATGTGCAAATCATATGCGTAGTTTGATAAAGTAATAATATGTTTGATTATTATTTGCAATTTAATTTCTTCAAAATTACTTAGGATAAGTTACATTAAATTCTTTAATTATTAGTGAAATATTAGCCGAAAAATTTGTTTTCGTAAATATAACATAGAAAGTAATGGAGCTTTTTGATGTCTCACTGTTTCGATTAATCAGATAGAAGTTGATTGCTATCCCCCTTCTTTCTCTCAAATACGAAGGGCTTCTTGACGCGGATTTGCGTGTTTATTGGAAAAGGAATACTGATAAACATCGGAAAGCTAATCTATGAGGGCCACAGTGAATTAGTGCGCACTTGTTTTACTAATTTGAACAATAATCTTAAAACATCACGATACAATATTCTACTCGTAAGTTTTTAAATTAACAAATTAATACAATTTGTATGTCGCTTAACATTAATCTTAGTTTAATTCACGTTTGTCTCTTTCTAAAGTAACAGTTGGAAAGAGACAAAGAACGAATTAAACGAAGCTTAAAGTTGAACAACGTTGGTGAAACCGGGCCTAAGAGCCGTCTAAAGGGTGTTAGTGTCTAAATATTTCATATTGTAAATTTATTGCGAAAAATATTACCTTAGCCAGGGCTTGAACCTGAACCTTCCTATTCATCGCAATAAACAGTCTAATGTTGATTCCCGAATGCCACCTATCGTGACAGTATTCGAAAACGAGAACTGCGCGCCGACTTAAATCGCCAAGTCTTAAAACGCAGCTGTAAATTAAAATATTTGGCCCAGAAAATTGCAATGTCTTATCATTGCTGTTTCAATCGTTATTTTTACGTCTTGTACGTTTAGCAGCGAGAAAAGCACGGATTGATTAAAATACAGCTTTTATTTTTAGATTTATACGCACGCAAAGATGTTGAAACGTTTTTGCACTTTCATAGTATTATTGCCGGACAATAACTTTTCGCCGGCGGAAAGTACGCCACCATAATTGCGGTTGTGTATGGAAAGGGCAAAGGACGCCATAACGCCTTAAAGAGGCTTGTACCTCGATGAGGTCGACCACTGACCGGTCGGTTATATAGCTGCTTTGGATTAGCATGAGGTTGCACGCAACCCTGACGTTCAGGAAGACGATAAGAGAATAGGTAACCGTTTCCTCGGCTACCTAACTTTTTCCCAACCCGTGACCTGCTGTGCGTATAATACCTCGATCATTCGGACTCCTTCATTTTCTTTCGTATATGTATGTCAGGTGTTCCGCCACTGTTAGAATTCGTAAAAATAATCAATGCGTTTAACTGCGCCCGTTAGGCGCACGCCTCCACTTCGTCTTTTTAAGCCGAAAAGGATGTTGTTCAGGGAAATAGGAATACGGAGCTTACTGAAAAAAATCATTTATTTGTCTATAAAAAATACAAAGGTGTACAAAAATTTGTTGTACAATGAGTCGTTGTGCAAGCAGTCGACGTTGACTGATATTAAGATAAAAATTAAATTGTTAAAAAACAACTCGGCATTCGTTACGCTAAGATATCTCTCTTGTCACACATTTCGTTCATAGAAATATATATCAATTGTGAGTTAAGTACTTTTTTTCATGCTAAATTTGTTACAATAAATAATTTGCAGGAATCTTGCATCTTCTATAAAGTTACAACAGTCGATGAGGAGGTATTCTATTTTCTAGTTCGTTTACGCAACGTATTATTTACAAAATAATCCCGGGTTTTATTTCTGCATCTAAAGAACATTCAGTGGCATAGGTAGCGTGAATCACGCGTGACCTCAATACTTATTGATTTGCTATAATTCCGTTGTTTCGATCTTTTTTCCTAGGGGATTGACGATCGCATTTTGTCCTGAGTAAATCGGTGAATTTCTGTTAAAATTATTTTCAATGTCGATACTCTCCACACTGTAATAACACAAATGTATAATGTAATAATAAATGTATATTATACATGGATTATATGTCACGCATTGTGCGTATTCGATGCAACGATATCGCATTGGAAACGTAAAATATTTGAAATATAATATCAATTAGTCGAAATTTTGAAATGGCGTGCACGCGAAAAAGAGAAAAATGCAATCGTCTTAATTGTTATGAAAATATTTTGAATGATTTATTTTCAATTCACCAAAGTTCTATCGGTTGCAATCAAGAATAAGCTGTAACTTATCACAAGAGTAGCTCCATACCTAGAGATAGTTGAAATTCTTGGCTCTATGTAATATGGTTTATCCTCAGCTCTTTGGTTTGTATTAGCTTCGTTCATCATCTCTTCGTTATTAAGCGCGTTCTCGTCGAGTGAATCCCTTTCGGACGTATGGCTGTACGACTCGTCGCTCTTGAACCATTCGTTTTCGTAAGCGTGCATCCATATGGGATTCGACCCTTCGACGCTGTGTTTGTTCGTGTTCGGGACGCGGCCAGGACTTCTGATAAATTCCGAGTCCGACGCACCTTTAAGATGTGACATTAAAATAGATATTGTGATGTTGAAAATAACATTGCGACGAAAATGATCAGAAATATTCTCTTGCGCATATTCAATTGTTAGAAGTCTTTTCGAATTGCGTCGTAAATTCTAAAACTTTGATGAAATGGTCAAAACTATATCAGTTACATTGACTGTATCAGTTCTAAAAGCAGGGCATTAACTTGACAAAGGTTCTAATAAGACGGGCAATAGCCAGAGGGCGAGGAGTAGAATTGGTAGAAGCGGTTATTTGCATTTCAAGTTACCGAACGGCGATGCGTTCGCCGCTTTCAGTTGCCTTCGAAAAGACGCTCTTTGGGACAAACATAAAGCGACACACAGAATCAGTAGAGCTCCGAGAAATAGGGTCAACGTGAGAAGCCAGAAAGTCGTCCCAGCTTGTTCGTACTGTACAATCGGTTCAGGCTTCGCTGGCTGCGTATCGAGGACGTTGAACTCCTTGAATAGATTGTCGAGTTTCTCGATGTTCCTGTCGACCAACTCGAGGACCTCGGATACTTCGAGGATCGAATTGTCCCGGCGATTCACGAGGTGCAAATATAAATCTGTTTTCGTTCTATCTACAGAACCGTCTTGATTTTCGTGAACCTTATACTCGTCAACGTTAATTATTGCGCTAGTGACGTTACCCAAGACTCTGCGAATGTAAAATTGAGATGTGTCAGCTTAGACATCTATCAGATGTTATTTTAGAGTTAGGTGTGTTTCATCGCACTAATTAACGATTTAGAGAAATTAAATGTAAAAAGTTGTCAGAAATATTCTACTTTGACATACTTTGCACAAGATCTGCACGTTACAATGACAAAATCTTATTAATAAACCATCATTAATTTTCTTATAAATATCTATTACTATTTTCATAACTTGTCGTGCAACGTTATTTCTCTCTTAAGAAAAATTTACAACTTTTTGCTCGATAACGCGAGTGCGAGACACTGCACTTACTCTCGAAAAGTCTCTATTCGACTTCTGACTTCTGGCGGATGTTGACGGAGAACAAAACGAACCCGCTGATCCTCCCGCAGTAGATAGATAAAAATCCTCGCAGTGTCTTGCAAGCCATGCGTATCGTTAACGAGTATCTACGTTCATACAAAATTTTATAACACAATATTACACATACGCTACTCAATATTTTATATTTAAGAATACCATGAAATCAAAGTAGCCCTTCATCCCTCGTTGAGGATCGAAATTCAGACTCACTGCCCCGTCATCCTTATTTACCAGAAAAGGCTGCAGGTGCATATCTTCGAAGCCCTCGGTTAACGTCATGTGAATTTTGCCCACTTGATAATAACCGAGTACAGCATTGTCGCCAGCGTCCACATCAACTGCCTGCAATTAGAGTTTCAGATGAAACACTAATTAATACCACTAGAGGGAAGTCTCCCATTATGAGATGGGATTCTAACATGGGACAGGGGGGTTTCTGTTAAATTAATAGGCATCATCAGTCGATTCGACCGTGAATTTCTTGCCTTCGAAGTCCGTTTAGTGGAAAATTCATTGTTAGATCGTGTAATCGTTGCGAAAAAAGATTTGTGATTGAATTTGGGCGTTGAAAACCTGCTGTCTCATATTAGAAACCTATCTTATAATAGAGGACTTTTCTCTAATTATAATATTCAAAGACGCAACGCTAAGAGGGTTTACATAAGGAAAGATTAGTGATGCTGTTTAGAGCGCGTCACTAGTATGTATAAAAAAAATTTATATATACACTGAAAAAAATTGCTGGTTGAATATGGACGAATCAGATAATTTCTTTAGGATTTACCAGAATTCCTTTAGGATTTACCAGAATTTCTGTAGGTTTACAGGAATTCTGGTAAATCCTAAAGGAATTATCTGATTCGTCCATATTCAACCAGAAATTTTTTTCAGTGTATATAAAGTTACCTTCACTTGCATAAATTGCGTGCCAAAGTCGGCTTCGGTGGTAACGCCACCCGTGAAAACGTCTTTAATAAATTGCGGTGCGTTATCGTTAACGTCGTCAACCCTTACGACGACTTGTAGTAAAGTGGCGTCAGTCTTGTCGAATGTCGTTTCGTTTCCCGGCACGGTCTTGCAATCCTCCGTTGCTTTAATAAGCAATTTATGTTCCTGTTGCTGTTCTCTGTCCAGCAATTTAGCGGTCTAAACGATAAATGATATCAATTCTCCTCAAATCACGACGTAAACTAGGAAATATCTGTACATGAACTCTCGAATAACATATTGGATAACGTATTCGGGCAATAATATCATTTAGTAAGCGACTTACGCCAAGTTCATGCTTGTAAATGTCTAAAACGAATAGTCCGTCGTCGTTTCCGCCAACTATAAAGTAACACACTTGAGTGGGAGGATCTTCCAGCTCGTCAACGTCGTCATTGTCAAACGTTTCCGGAAGCAACACCGTCTCCGATCCCGGTGGCTGCTCCTCCGTGAAGTTAACGTTAAAAGCGTTCACTGAAAACTGTGGCTCGAAATCGTTGATGTTGCGCACATAAATAATTAGATCGAGGTCTGAACTTAGAGGCGTCGGGGTACCCAAATCGTATGCTTCGATGCGTATCTACGGTAGAAACGGTCAGTTTTATTCACAAAAGTCTCTGGAAATAATTCAAGTCTTGCTGTGCGCGTTTGCATACCTCGTACAACTTTTGAGTCTCTCTATCGAGCGGCGACTTTAAAGATATCTCGCCGGTTTTCTCGTCGATGCGGAAGGTCTTCCAGTGGCCCGCGAGATCCTGCTTCAAGCGATAATGCACATCGCCGTTTAATCCCGTATCGGCATCTCTCGCCTCAATTTGAATAATCGGGCTTCCTACTGTTATGTTCTGAAATCGTTTCGTTATGTTACATCATTAACGCCGCTTCGTGCGCATTAGGAATACAGTATTATGCAAATTGGCCGGAAACACGAACCTCTGGAACGCGGATGGTGGTGTTGTGCTGGGGACTGACGAACAAAGGGGGATTATCGTTGTAATCCGTGACGCAAATTTTCAAAATTCCATTATCCTTATTGGATGGCGTTCCCAGATCGCGTGCTTCGACGTTTAACGTGTAATTCCCAAATTTTCCTCTCAATGGCTGCGCAGCTTTTATCTTTGCCGTCCAGTAATCAGTTTGTTCCAATATAAATAAACCTGCTGACCAAAATTTTATCGACATTATTTCGCGCGAAATCTATTGTACGTGCACTTGATATTTTCAAAACTAAGGTAATTGTTTTTGCTGTGCCGGTGTATCGGAATTTCACTCAATCGTATTTACATTTCAAAATGTGCACGACACATTTATATTCTACATTGCGGAAAATTATGTTTCGAGCGACACTCAAAAGTTGATTGCGCACCTAACTCGTTGCCCGAAGTGATCCTGATTATAACGCGTCCATTCGGTGTTGTCGGGTCGTCAGCGTCCTTCACTTTTATAATATAAATCAAGTCCCGTACGTCATGAAATTCAGATATCGAGACGCAGTCTTGAGGTATATCCATTTTCGGAGCATTGTCATTCACATCGATGACTGTAACCCTAAAACAATATCGTCTGCTTTACGATGACACTACCGAGGCGATTTTACAATTAAATTATGAAAGGTAATATTTTCATTGATTCGAGGGATTGCATACTGGATTTGCTTAAACGCGTTTCGAGACTCCCCCGCCGTATAACCAAACTGATAATTGTCCCACGCTTCTATGACCAGAACATAATTATGTCTAGTCTCCCAGTCCAGGACGTCTGCCACTGTTAACGATCCCGTTTCTGGGTGAATAGCAAAAGTCCCCTGTTGAAAGGAACAGTCGATTGGAATAATAAATATATAAAATCTTACGCCGGCTATTGAACGAACAATGAAACTAGATATTGCTAGAGCGCGTTGCAAAGTAACAAGTACGTGTCGAAACATTATAAAGATTTCTGTGTTTGTATTATTACAAACAAAAGGCAACTCTTATCTATTAGCTTTTTCTACCTGAGATGACATTCTGTCCAAGAGATAAGTGATTTTTCCGTAGTCCCCGCTGTCAGAATCTGCCGCCTGTATTACAGTGATTTCCGTGCCAATTTTTGAATTCTCCATAACAGTTACGTTACTGACGTTCGACAGGAAATACGGATTATTGTCGTTTTCATCCAACACTTGGACATACAATTCCGAAAAACTTGATCTACGAAATTTAAACAGTTTGACTAAATTGTTAATTTCGTTTAATGGGAAATTATTATTTGATTACTCGCACATTTACATTATGTTTAAATTTAAATATAAGAATGCAACGAGGTGAAAAGAGAATTGTGGACGTTCAGAGGAATTAATGCAGAAACATTTACATAATATAATAACCTAACAATTATAAAATTGTATAATCTCTTACCGGGGTGGAATACCAGAGTCCGTGGCTTTAACAGTTAAATTCAGCCACGAGTACATTTCTCTGTCGATTTTGTTGGCGACGACCATCTCTCCGGTCTCATGATCTAAATGCACGAGATCAGTGATCTCTCTCGGGCCTTGTAAGGAATACGTAATGCTACGATTTTTATCGGCGTCGTCGGCAACAATGCTAACGATATTGACACCATTTTTACTGTTTTCAGTGACGGAACGTCTGTAAAATGGCCTCCGAAACTTTGGATTATTGTCGTTCTCGTCCTCGATAATTATACTCAGCGTGGCTGCGAACATTGTTTTCATTATTAGTTTAGTAAGGCGCTTTCATAAGACACTTTTCCGACAGAAAAGTTGCGGAAATGTTTCGAAAACTTGCTTGCGGAAAGATTTGAAGAAAGACCTCGTCATTTGCAGACGTAAAACTACTTTTAAAACTAACCGGATGCCGTTTGTAAGCCTCTTATTGCGGCCAAGTCCTCGACTATAAGTCCCAGTCTGATGGTTTCCACTCGCTCCCTATCTAATAGTTTTATTATGCGTAGCAAGCCGTCCAGCGCATTTAACTCCAGCGCTGCTAGATAGTCGTATTCTTGCACCTTGATCAAAGTGCCCTCCTCGTTTCGTGCCTCCGATGAATTGGGATCCACGCGATAACGTAGAATCGGGGCTACGTCCGGATCCTGCGCCACTATGCGATGAACGTAGGCACCGACCTAAAGTCATTTGTTTATTGATAGAATTGAGACATCAGCAGACAGGCCTCTAAAATACGTACCTGAGTGTTTTCTCTTATAGTGACAGTCCCGGGATCGATGAAAACGGGCGGTTTATTATTCACGTCTAGGATCGTGATATTCACGAGTACCTCGGCCGTCCGTTGAATTTCCGTGCCGCTGTCGATGGCGATAACGTTTAAGTTGTACCTCGTGGTTTTCGGCGACGTGAGATCCGGGTCCAAGTTCGAGCCCGGCGCAACTCGGATCACGCCTGTCTCGGGGCTAATTACAAACTTGTCCCCGGCTCCGCTCTGAATTCGATAAACTAACTTGTTATTCGGCGACGCCAAGTCTTTGTCCCAAGCCTTCACCTGTACGAGCAATTCTTTATTTAGCAACGCGACAACATTTAATTAACTTGTCTTCCTCTCTCTTAATTTTTCACACAATTCGGAAATTTATATCCACAACTCGGCGACGTATAATGTTATAAGCGTACGTACCTGCACGACGCTTGTGCCCCCTGGCAAATCTTCGGGAATGTTTCTCTTGTACAAAGCCCTTTCGAAAGCGGGGGCATTATCGTTAACGTCTCTCAGGTAAATGATGAGAGGAACGTCAGAAGACAGACTCGGTATACCCAGATCTCTGGCTCTCACTGTCAATCTTAATTGACGTATAATCGTTTCTTTGTGTCCCTGATTGATAGGCAGAGCCTCGTAATCCAGGGGACGGGCGGGTGTGACAACCCCACGTTTCGGATCGATGGTAAAATTTCGGGAGAACTCGCTTGACACCAGGGCATAGACTATCTCGCTGTTTCGCGTCCCTGTACAGATACGTAAACGTGACACGTCGCAGACGGGGGTTTGTTTCGTTCGTTACTTAATTTTCTTTAATAAACGCGCTGCCTCACCGTTCAAATCGTTGTCGGACGCCTCGACGATCAGAGGCGACTCAAAGTGATCCTCGTTCTCCAACAGCACCGCCTCGTATTTATTTTGCAGGAATATAGGAGCGTTGTCGTTAACGTCGTCGATATTAACTATTAGTTGCGCGGCGTTGTGATTCCCTTTTCCAAGATTGTCTCGCGCCTCGACGGTGAGATAATGCCGAGCCGCTAATTCTCGATCGAAACTGGGCCCAGGATGCTTGACCGTTATCACGCCGGTGAGAGGGTCCATCGTCAATCTATGGCAAAAATTAATTGGATAAATAAATTGACCTGTTGAAACATCAATTTACTATCGTGTGGTTCTCATGGTATTATTTTTATGTTTCATCAATTTATTATTCTAGTCTTCTCGTGTAAGACGAAATTGTATTATAAAGTAAAGGCTGACGTAATTTTAAGAATTATTTTGATTTAAATACGAAGTAGCAAAGGAGTAAGAGCCAAGACGAAATAATAATTTCACATTAGAGCCTTGTGAATCTTATTAATTATTTTGATTAATTATCTTACGCATGTGCGATGCTACCGCCTGAAGTTGTGTATCGTATTCCACGCGTTCCAAAGTTACCGCTGTCTCCGTCCAGTGCCTGTACCCAAGCCACGGTCGTTCCCTCGTCGCAGTTCTCTGGTACCGACACCTCGTAGACACCTTTCGTGAATTCGGGATAATTGTCATTTTGATCCTTTACGAACACCGTGACCGGCACCGCGCTATACTTGGGCGAAACCGGCGTGATTTCTTTCGCGACGAGAGTGAAGTTCACCACTGCAAGAATCAAATTCGTAAGTTTCGCACGTGGCGTGGCACAAAACGTAACGTTAGTGTTTCAATATAAAAATCTGCAGTACAGCAGCTAGCTTTAATTATAATGAGGCAAATGATCTGCGGCTTTACCGGATATTTTTTCAAAATCCAGTTTGCTCGAATCCTTAACGCGTATTAAAAACGGCGCCTCGTTAATCCCGCGAAACGGTGTCACGTCAAATATCCCACCGTCGCCTTCGATGAATATTCGAAACGTGCCATTGGAGCCCTGAAAGGAAATTCGCTGCACTTGCAAGAAGCATTCGTAAAATTCGAAAATTATGTTGCAAGAGAGCAATATTTTTCTCGGGGCGCGTGGGTGAAAATTCTATTTGGAAAATTGAAACAATTTTCTCACTGTTCTCAACTTACCAAGTCGTGATCAAAGACTTCTGGCACGGCGTCGCCAATAAAGTTGACTGGTGTATTTTCCGGCGCATTCTCATTTATTTCGGCATGGTACAGCGCGCTTCGAAATGTCGGCGTTTCATCATTTACGTCGGTAAGAATGATGGTCACCTCGGTACTGACAGACGGCGGCGGATTAATCTTCGATACTTCCTTAACTGTAATCTCGAGGATGAAAGTGCCATCGCTATTCTCCTCAGCCTCTCTATCCAATTGCGCTCTCGTGAATACGAGGCCGGAAGTCGCGTCAATATCGAACAGATATCTCGGTCCCTTCGTAATACTATAAGTCACTTTGTTGTTTATCCCCTTATCACCATCCACAGCACGAACTGCAATGAGATTTATTGTCGAATCATTAGAGCCACCAAATTTTATATACGGAGTCTCCCGCAATCACTGAAAATATCGGACGTCACGGTAGTCCCCGAAAGCAATTGACGTTCAATAGTTGGAGAATAAAACTTGTTCTTGTCTTGAACAAGAAAATATATATTACAATTTTTCAAAACACTTTGTACCCCAAAAAGAACAAGATTGCGCGATTTTAATAAATCAAGAAGACAAGATTAAATCGTAAAAAATGTAACGATTTAATCTCACTTCCTTTTCCCGGTTTGTTAAAACTACACGGTTTTAATTTTCTCGCAAAGTAAAGATTTGGACAAATCATAATAACAAATTATAATTTCCGTATCCAATTAAAGTTTGGTTAAATTTTTTAAGTGGATTTAATAATTTTTTAAATTACTAATTAGCTAATTATACAAATTTCTATTAAAAGGAGGGATTAGTATTCGTGTATAATTAGTCATTTTCATTAAGCTTTCAAATTGCTCTCAATAAAATTAATCCGATATGTCAGGCGAGTTTGCAAAACAAAATGTACGATCACAGTTCATTCAGCTGCCCGACGCCTGAGGGTGCCACTTTATGGCTATCCTAGTTTTAAAGAACAGTAATGAAGGAACAACGGATCATAGCTCATAGCGATCGCACCTTTCTCGCGTTATTCTTCCGTCATAATAGAGCAGAGCATGCATCACGATTATGCGATTATTAGAGCGAGATCGCTTAGATTTATAATTGTTGCAGCGTTTAAAAACAGAAGTTTTACACCCGCGTGTACGCGCGTATATCGTTGCGTGCGTCTGGATGTGTCGAAGTATGTCGAAAAATGAAATTCTATATTAATTGGCTGCAAATTGCCCCATTACAAAATTCTAATTAATTACTCGTCTTAATTAAGCAGCCTCGTTCATTATAAATGAATTTCGTTGTATATTCATTTATTCTGGCATTACGTTAAATTACACTTAAAATTAGATCCCGCAAATTGGAAACAGTTGCTTTACTCGCGGGATGTAATGCTGACCTTGCAAAACAGACGTGCCGATTCTGACATTTTCGCTGATCCTTGCGACAGGCGTCATGGCTGTGAATTCCGGCGGTTGGTCCTCCACATCCTGTACTTTGATCAAAATTGCCGTTGTTCCCGTATTTACCTGGCCGGGAGAGAACGGTTAAGCATTTATTCAGAATAATTAAGTACAAGCAAACTACCTTACAGGAAGTTGCCTCAAAGAAATGGCTATAATAAATAACTGTAACGACGCTTATGAAGATGATTATCTTCTGGCATTGTTCACCCTTCACTGCGCTTGGCTTTACAGGGAAAAGTCATTGAACTATTCAGCGCAATCATAGGTCATACGGGTTTTATCTACGCAATGTCCACGCGCGATGTTAAATAATATCCTCATAACTTTTCAAACTTTCAACAAACGCTTATTACACGTGCACGGGTATATTTACGAAAATAATAACCGCGCCCGTTTTTCTTATCGCGATAGAAAAATACACTGGAAAACGTATTTAATGAGGAACAAACGAAAGTACCTTTTCATTTATTGCACGATCTACAGCCAAGATCCGCAGTTGATACAGATACTTCCGTTCGTAATCCAAAGAGCCCACTAAGCGTATAACGCCCTTGCCATTGGCGGTCGATATGCTGAAAACGTTGTTATCGCCGTCCAATTCCTGAAGGTAATACACCACTTGACCATGAGCACCCAAGTCGGCGTCGGTAGCTTCCACCGTTGTTAAAACACCCGGGCGTGAATCCTCCCGGAGTGTTAACGAGGTAGGATGTGGACGGAATATCGGGACATTGTCATTAATGTCCTCGACCAGAAGCAGCAGACTTTGCGTGATGAAGTTTCCCTCCCCCAGTCTTCCATCCGTCAGTGTTAACACGAGTGCGTATTCATCTCTTGCCTGATAAAGCGCAGACGATACGTTTAATATTAGATTAAGTCCACTTTAGACGATCTACAATTCCTGTCAGATTCCGAGATATATTTTTGACTTTTTTTTGTTCCATGTTATTAATTTTTATGCCGCATTACGAAAAGCATTTAGGTATCCGTAGCCAGATCTTATATTCAAGATCATTTTAAGATCATCTTTAGATACTCCATACACAGTTGAAAAATTTGTGTTAAATTTAACAGATATCACATGTCCCAAACGGTCCACACAAATTTTTGTCTTAATTTAACATAATATGGATATGTTAAATGATCACGCTAATACTCTGTTAATATTTTAACACAAACTAAATGCAAATCTCAAAATAATTTGAAATGAATTTTGTGTAAAATTAACATATTTTTAATGACAAAATGAATTTAAAAAATTTTTACATTTTACAAAAGTTATATAGAATAAAATCAACATTTTATTCTGTAAATTTTAACAGATAAATCTCGTTACTAATAATATAGAACATATGCATTGTGTAAGATTAAAAAATAAGTACGCATTGTGTTGTTTTAACATTTCTTTTCAGTTATTTTAATAATTTTACATTTGAGGTCAATTAACACAAGAGTAATATGTTAAGTTAACGCATGAATGTGTTAAACTTTTAATACAAAAATTTTAACCGGCATTTTTTTTAACAAGAAAACACAAATTTTCCAACTGTGTAGCCAGTGAAATGTTCCATACAGTACCTTTATATAAATTCAAGATAGTCTTGAATGTAAAATCTGGCTATGAATACCGGCTTTAAAGACTGAGAATACTGCACGCGTACGTAAAATCTGCATTAAGGTACATAGAAGACGCGGTATATAAAATTATAATATAAGCTTCTATTCTGAAATTGGATATAAACTGCTGATAAAACGGTATATTTAAAAGACCTCGTATATACAAATTGTTTGATATATCGAGATTGAGGAAACATTGCACCGCGCGCGATGATTATTATGATTCGAACGCGAGCACCGTCATCGATGGTAGAAAGTTGATTTCGGATGCGTTATTTTATGTGTGCGCTGATGATGACAGCTTTGCGAAGTAAATCCTTGTAAAGATGATCGGTAAATTACGTTTGTCTCCGCTGCTGATACTTAAATTTCTCTTTAATGGTTTGTTGGACTGTAATATTGAAGCTGCGATCCGAAGAAAAGGTAAATGGCACGTGCAAAACAGAAATAACAGTGTTGGGACAACGTAAGAATTATTGCGGTATCTCTTCCTGCGTTATTCTCGTTCCTTTCGTTGTGTCGCTTAATGGCTCGTACTTGACAAACTTTGTGATTGTTATTAAAACGACTTATTGCGAAAATCTAGTTTCCACTTTGCGATAATTTTTGATGCGATAACTTAGAAAATATTCTCTTTTTTTTTTGCTATAAGTGCCTTTTAATAATTTTGATAGATAAAAAATTATTTAGAACGTAGAGTTTAGGTTACCTCTCTGTCCAGCAGCTTATTTAAATAAATGCTAGCTTCGCTGAAACCGAAATTTTCGACACGAATCACATCACTTCCAGGTTGATCTCGAACTCCAAAAGTCAGTATATCGTTATCTGGGTCAGTGCCCCTGAGCTTGTAAATTAGACTACCTGTAAATCATTTTTTAATAAATGCATGGTCTTTATTTATAATCAATAGAAGTGAAAAACGCAAAGTAAAACAAAACAACAAGAAGAAATTCAGTAATTGTATTCCTTTTAAGTTAACAGAAATTATCTAAAGAATAACTTTTATAACTTCTCTAACTCGTAAGTACCTAAATAGAAAGATTCGTAAGAAAGAGAATGAGAGCGAAAGAAAAGTATTAATTTTCGCTAGTTCATTCGCGTGTTAAAAACAAAGCAACGGTTTATACAACGGTGCTTGAAAATCGGTGCGTTAAACTAGTAATAAGTTTTGTGATCCGTGAACCGGCGCAAGTATGCATGAAGACGCGCCCGTGTTCTTTCACTATGAATTAATCGATCGTAAAGTTTCATCCGCTGTGTTTGCTTAATAAAAGCAGTCATGTACAAAATGACAATTTAACTGATATCCGTTCTTTGAGAATAGCGAAATCTTTTCCATCAAGGATGCGTTCATTATCTTTACCAATCGGTGTCTCAGGCCCCTCCTTCAATCTGAGGACAATTTCCGTTTGTCCGTCTATGAGAAATCTGGGAGGATTGTTTCTAGCCGAGCAATACGTCAACAAATATCCCAATATGAAGTATAACAATTCTATTTTAAACCGGCTTCTTTTGCATGATCGTAACAGCCAGGAGGACGAGCTCGTTTGCTTATCCGACGTCATCTTGGTCGTGCGATATTTGTATAAATCGACATGTTCCTCCCCGTAGAATGTTCCACTTGTCGATGCGACCCTGAAATCAATTGCATAAACGTGCGAGTTATCAACGAAAACGTTGCTTTAAATAAGTAACAAATTATGCCATGAAAAATATCAACGTAGCGGTCGAAATTATTGAAAAGCGAATAAACGAACGCATAATTTAAATAATAATATATGTATGATATTTCTTCGTATTCTTATTGCGTACATTTCGCGAACTTCGACATAGGGTAAAGGCAGGTATTATGGCCATAGTTTTGATTTGAGTCATAATTTTCAAACCGCTGGTTTTTTTATTTTGTAACTTTCTGAATTCTAGTGTATTTAATAAGCTTTGATGACAAAATGTTTTGATCAATTAAAATCTATCCATATTCGAAGAAAAAAAAAGAATCTGAAAGTATGCGTTTTGGCCATATTAAATTTGGGGTAGATAATATGACCAAATATAAAAAAAGTGTACAAAACAGTACTATATTGCAAAAGTGAGGTATTTACTTTAATCATAAAGTATTACTTTAATCGTACAGAACATAAACTTTGATATATTTTAAACACACGAGTACACATTTAAGAAATGTGTATGTGTATGTCCACTCTCTCTACGTAACGCCGT